ATATATCCCACGCAAGTAAACAAATTTCAAGTTTCAACCCAAACAATATATTCCAATGCATGTGCAAGGGCTTTTCCCAGTAGCTAATCTCTCAATATATAAGGCGGCTTCCAATTGGCTCTAATGTTTTTGAACACTGCCAGATGATTGGCTCCGCTAAAACAAAGGGAATTGAATATGCAGCTCGGGTAAGCAGACGGTAGTATTTCGTCGCTTGGCGTAAGAACTGCAACGTCTGTGAGCAGGCTAGCGGGCGTCTGGCTATGATCCAAGAGTGATCATCCCACTGATCTAAAAAATGTGGCGGACTGTCATGGAAATGGCGAGTGATTGGTCAAATTTAAATTTCGCTTTAACGTGTTCTTTTGAGAAAATTAAAAAAAAAATAAACAAATAAAATATTAAACAAGGAACCAGGCGGCAGCAAGAAGACGCCGGAAAAAGATTTTCGCCTGACTTGTTAAAAGAAGCGAGCAAGGACAACGTCAAAAACTCGAAATATCGAGCAAGGACAACGTGAAAAACTTTCAAAAACTCGAAATATCGTTAATTAGACATGCAGGCAAACAGTTGATTTGTTTACAACAAAGGACAATAGATTGCTGGAAATTGTGAAACCGAATGAAGGTAAGTTTGCTTTAAATATTGATGAGGAAAGCAAAATTATTTTCATGCGATATATAATTTGAAATAATTTTATTTCAAACTCAAAGTTTATCGCGGATAAAAGGCAGTTTTAAGAACATTTTAAAACGTTTTCTAAAGCGATTGTGGTTGAATTTTACATTAAATTGAAGCTTATATTATGCATAATATAACGTATAATAACGTACCAAACATATATATTTTTGCGAAATTGATTATTTTGTTAATTAAAAGTGATATTTTTAGGGGATTTTTAAATTTTTAAAAAAATATTCTGAATAAAATTATCGCCGTGTTACCAAGTCAACTATACTTTTAATACTTCATTGGCGGAAATATAATGGTTTTGGAAGCAAGGCGAGAGGTTTCTGCATGCATGTATTTCTAGTTAGCTATATTTAATATGAAAACTAATCAAAATAATATGAACATAGAATATTGCCGGTCCAAATCACATTTTTCCACAATTGAGAATTGGTGCAAAGCTGTTAATTTGGATTTAAAATTCATAAATTTTAGTTTTTTTTAAGACAAAATAATTGTTGTCAAGTCTATTTCGAACTTACTCGTTGGCAAAATTGACTGGTGATTAATTGCTTTTTCGTTTGTTATGTACTGCTTTAATTATGTGCAGAGAGGTGGGAAAATGCAATTTCGATCGGCACGTATTTGGTTATTTTGCTTCAAATGATACAAAATATAGGTGCCATAACGAGCAATAAAATTATATGAAACCGTTCAGTCACGTTTCGGGTGTTCATGCATGATTAGACTTTCTCAGTAACATGTCATATAATTCCGAAGCTTTAGACGCATTAGAATGACCCCCTGATTTATATATATACACATCATGCAGAACTTGTTAAAACATACTGCTTGGTTGACTTTCACAAATGTCAGGTTCTAGTTCTTCGGCTTTCGTTGGTATTGGTTCCTACAAAATTTATCAGTTGAGTTTAATTAATTATTACATTCAAAATCCCATTCTTCAAACATTTTGCTCAGTGTTACCCTCAGGCATTGCATATAATGCGTATAGATCATTAAACAATGGCGTAACGCAACCTCCTGAGCCCCCCCCCCCCCGTCAAATTTTTAGGTTCAAATTTCATAATTTCACCAATTTCTGCCTTTGGGGCCACCCGTTGCAAATTTTCTGGCCCTCTATAACTGAGGTTCGGGCCAATTTGCCGAATGTACTAGCAAACATTTTATGGTCGTGTGATTATAGGGTCATGAGAGTTTATGTGAAGGTAAATAGTTTCTATACCTTGAATAACCACACATATCTTACAAACCGCTGGTCGAGCTGGTTCATACTGTTTACCACATTTACTAGAATATTATAATTAAGTTGGACCGACATAACACGCGTAATTTGATTGGCCAATGCGCGTGCACTATAACTCCATAATGCACTGTTTTGTTTTTACTGTTTTTCTCGCAGCTTTGTCTGCGGTTTCTTGGCAAAAACACTGTGAGCAGAATTATTGAGTGCTGTTTAATCAAATCCAAAATTTATTTAAAAGTAAGAAAATTTACACCGAAAATGAAGTGCAAAAGTAGCTAACAGGAGAAACGAGAGAACTCTTCAAAAAGCTACAGGAATACACATAAAAATAGAAAAAAGCTACAAAACGTAAACAAAATTCATTAAAACATGACCTTAAATGCTTCAAATAAAGTGCTTGATATATCTTCGGCAAAACACAAAAAATATAATGATAATTTTCCAATTCACCAGCGAATGAAAACGAAACAACTCGACGAAAACCCCGCGGCTGTCCGCCTCGTGTTTTACACACTTCTCTCGAATTCTCCCAACAATAAATTCTCGCAACTAGTTTTCTATTTCTTACAAATAACGCTTTATATAAATCTTCCTTTGCGACCTTACACAAACTCATTGTGTATTGATTTAACACAAATTCATTTTAATTAAATGCCAAATACACGGAACTTATGAAAAATCGCGACTATATTATTGACAAACGAAAAAGACAAACCGTAAACAGTCAAATCACCAAAACAAAGGCTAGCTACATCTTTTCGTACGTAGAAAAATTCGGTTATGCAAAAACCAAATATGGCGAAATATACAAACCCGAAATTCCAACTGATTTCTCGTCCTGTTTGAATAATTATAGTAGTACATAGCATATATAAATGAGCTGAAAGTAAAACTTTACCTCGAACTTTGGAGCTAAAATTTCTCCGTATGTTGATTCCGTGTCTTCACTAAGACTTTTTTCTGGGAGGGAACGTTTTGTGGTGTTGTTTATGTCACAGAATTTGTCCACAAATTTACGACTTTGTCTGTAATTGAATGACTTACACTCTTGAAAACGTCCTACGCATCTTAGTCCGCATTCCAAAATTGTTACCACGGAAAATGTCTCAACAACCACGTCGCCTTTGAGTGCTGCATAAATAGAACTTATTTTTATGCCAGACAATATCAAACTAATTCTTTTCTATATATGTTTTATATTATATTCATGATTGTATAGATCATTGACCATCAATGTCAAAAACAACTGAAGAGTAATAACGGAAGAATAAGAGCAGGAAAAGAAAATTTTAAACGTAATAATCCATGCAAACTGTACTTACCACTGCCAACTTCGCAATTAGTTAAGAAATTTTCAGAGCATTTTGTTCAAAATGCACGTGTGTTTCTCCAAAATGAAGTGAATTGGACGAAAAGTAAACGAATACACAGAATAGAAGAATTCAAAGAAATAATCCCCGAACCAACAGCGCGGAGCGCCGTTCCGGGCGTAAGCCCGGGGCTAGGGTACTAATTCCCCCCGGCTATTTACACCCGGGGAAACGAAAGCATTAGCGAAGTCTAAAGTTCATCAATGATCGCGGGCGTGACCATCTATCTTGAGTGGGTGGTCATCCTCACTGATCTCAAAAATATGGCTGATATCGATTGCTTGTATAGTAGTGGGGTAAGCAAGATTTCAGTTTTAAAAGACATCGTTTCATACACAACAACCTTGAAGCAATTTTGTTTCAAGAAATCAGAAGAATTTAATTACTATGGGAAATTGTGAAACTACGGCAAGTTTGCTTTGGATATTTAAGAGGCAATTTTTTTCCATGTCACGTATTTGCAATGAAAAGTGTTCAAAACCTAAAATCTTTTTGGCGTTCCTCTCAAAATTACTTTGTTTTAGCTTTATTCTTTAGTTTATAGAGTTAGCAACCTTTTTAAATGTATCTGCCGGTTGAGAAACATAAACTAATAGTTAAAAGTTGTCGATTAAAATACAATTATGAATGATGCATGCTTTAAAATTGACGCCATATTTACAGCCATATAAGCAAAACTTACTGAACTTCAGACATAATTTTCTCTTTGGCGTGTCATCTAAAATCTCTTCATTTTAGCATTATTTTACAGATAAAGCACTAAACATACTTTTTACGTTTGTTAGGCAATGGAGAAACGTATCGAAAAATAGAAATTTTGAATTTAGTCATAACCTTAAGTGGTATATTATACGTATTAGTTTTGAGCGCTTGTTACGTAACATACAAAAAAATCTCCTCTTAATGTTTACGAATTTTGTTGCTTTATATTTTTGCCTAAAAACATCAACTGTTTTCCTTTTCAACGAAGCTCTGAGTTTCATAAATTACCGTTTAATTTGAGAAAAAATCTTAAAATGTAAAGGAGAACAAATTGACTTGAAGGCTGAACTGAGATTACCTCACAATTTGTTTTATTTGTATTAAACTTATTATGTTTTATCAAGTAAAAACAGTTTATCGGCAAATATAGTTTAGTTGAATCATAGGCAGGCCACTAAACGGCTGAATTTAAATTAAAACTGCAGTAAAATTAAGCATTTCAAAACATTTTACGAAGCGTTTCAAGTTAAATTTTACATTAATTTAAATTTAATAAGGTGGTCTTACACCCATGCATATTTTCAATTTTTTTGCATTTAATTCTAGGGCAGATGTAAGTTTATATTATAGTAGGGTACAAAAATGTGATCAAGAAAATACATTACTTTACATGTGTGTTGCCATGGTTACCGTGGTAATGTGAGAAAATAAGCCCCTGGTGAGAAAATAAGCACCTATTTTCAGACGTGATTAAGCTTCAGTGGATGGTCAGAAAACTTTAATTTCTGGTTTATATTATCACTATAAACATAGTCTAGGAGCCAAACAAATAGAAACCCTAACTATTTACAAGCATCTCTGTTTTTTTAAGATTTTTCCGCAAAATAGCTATTTTTTTAAAACAATACAGCATATACTGTAGGAAACAACTAAGGAATTAGTATAAAACTTTTTTCAGTTTTATAGGCTTGGCTCCTTGCCTGATATTGTGTGTTACACTGTTGAAAATGTCAGTCAAATTGGTTAAAATCTGTCATAGATATACAGTCTGAAGATAACGGCATTTGCCAAATTTCACATTTCGTGAAAAACAGCATTTAAGTTTAGCTTTTAGATGGTGGCTCTATATTTATGTAAATAACATTGAAATGTCTACTTTTTTAATATCTTTTCAAACCTTAGAGTCTTTAGTAAGTTAAAATCGACCGGCAGCATAAGTCACACCCTCTTTCTGGGAACATTTGTCCGCATTCTTCTTCTTTCGTGCTCGCCTGATTTTTCTTTTCTTTTTGTTTTCTTCCTGGGCCTTGAATTCTGCCTTATCCACACGTTCGTGATCTTGTTGCTCTAATTCAGCATGACGAAATGTTCCAGGATCAATCCCTAGAAGCTCTAGTACATTAATTAAGAGCAGCTTGGGAGCCAATGTTAAAGTGGGGCACAGCATCGTAAACACCAAGCTTCAACACATCCGATCCGATAAACACTTCTTTTGGAAGGCGATTCCAGATCATTCCGTTAATTCAGCGACTCATTCTGGTTTTGAGTCTTCCCATCTAAGCACCTTTCAAGTAAAGCATCATTACTTAGCCTCTCATAAATGGGTTTTACCAATCTAATTATTTCATCTGGTAACCCTGGCCCTGGTTTGTACAAGGATGTTCCTTTGGCTCGATCTTGTCGAAATCGACACCAGCTATCAACACCAGCATATGGAGATTTCTTCTCTTTGAGACTATTCAATACATCAGGCTAGCTTGAATAGCTTTTTTCACATTTCCAACATTGCTTCGAATTGCAATGCCATAGTAATTTTGAAGCCGATCAATCAAAGCATTTGTCAATTCTCCTTAGAACTTAAGCTTTCGAAGGGCAGTTCCTACTCGCTTTTGGACATGTCCAACACATTCTTTTTTCACTACTTTAACACTCTCTTTGCTGTATATATCCTGAACCTCACTGAAACCTTTGCTGTCCCCATCGCCGAAATACTCTGTATACTGTAGTTTGTACTTCTCTTAACTGCGGCCAAATATTTTCTTAACTCCCACTGTTTCCATTGAAGCAGAAGAACCAGAATAATTGGCTTTGCATTCATCTTTGTGCTCAGCTTCCCAAACTAACTTTTCCTTAGAATCATCACTGTCCTTTGTGTCTTTGACACCTTCGGCACACTTTACTTAACACTGCGACATCAAGGCACTTGCCAGTGTCAATCGAGAGTGTCGTCACACAGCCATTCATTGATGAATGCCTTCTTCTCTGCCACGTTCCATCACAAGAACTCCACATTGAGAGATCCCAACATTGTTGCTTCCTTTCAGTGCACGGATTTCGTCACTGGCATCCATCATGCTCTTCTCAGCAACAGTTTTAACTGCTTTCAAGATGACTTTGTTGTTCTTAGAGTAGGCATTTGCTTTAGGGGGAGAAGGCATATTCATAATGCCACAGAAACCTGACTGGAAAGTTTGGAAATTGCGCGGGGAAGATTTCGAAAATTTAATAGTAAATATATAGGAAGCATCAAAATTGCGCAGAGAAGAACTTCCCCGCGCACAGCAAAGATTTGACAGAAACGTTTGGCAGAAGCTCTTCCTTGTCCTATTAATCTCATGCCATAGACAAGCCTTTTATTAACTTCAAAACCTTTATTTATTTATTTTGAAGTATAGAAACAGTGCTTCCAATCACAACTAGAGCAGACAATACTGAGATATGATGAGCACCCTTGCCTTCGTTTGTCATCTTCCAAACACAGACACCTTTCGTTACAATTCTGACAAGCAACTTGTTTCAACACGTTTGAAAGTATTTCAAGACTAAAGATACGATATCCATCTAGCTTTGTATTAGCTTTAGCTGTAGGTTTTAGACGGTTACTCAACTTCCTTGCAGAGACACTAGCATGACTTGTTTAAGTCGAACCTTGGTCTGTGCTGGTTACATCACTATCGCTACACTTGTTTTTTTTAACCAAGTGAAAACTAATTACCTTGATATTTTCATTTACGAGATTTTGAAGAAGATCGTGGCATACTTATAACAGTAGATCGATCGACAAATTCAATATAAAACAACAAAGAATAAGCAATTTCTGTAAATTCACTTTTCGACTAAATATCCCGATGAAAACGTTTTGAAAACGTGTGTAAAGCAGCAGTACTCTATAGTCAGCGGCTTTATTACTCAATAGACAAAAAATACTGTCCAGGGGAGGGACAGGTAGAAAAGAAAAGGTTGCTAAGGGCGTTGCTAAGGCGAAAAACAATAGCTAGGCTTTAAAAAACGTTATTTTTTTATATTTCTTTTCATTCTATCACAAAAACTTTTTTGCCACATCATTCAAACATGATATATGACTCAATTTATGCATAATTAAAAAAATGGTCCGTAAGTTAATCACCTTAAATTAAATGAAAGCTCACAAAATGCAAAATAATATACCTACAGTATATATTTTGGAAATTTATTGTTGTATAGTTAAAAGTACGAATCTTTCAACTATTTTGCAGTTTTGTACAAAAAATATGAAAAAATTGAAAATTTAAGAGTATTGTGTTGTCATGGCAACACTTGAGCGCGAGCCTGCGTTCAGTGTTGGCCATTTCTGAATACTTCATGTTTATTTAATGTTTGGAAAATATTGGCGAGGGGTTACTGCATGCATGTATTTCTAGTATTTTGTTATATGTACCGATAATTTTTGTCTATTTTGAAAGAGAGCCGCAAAATGTTACATGCAGCACTGGCAACCGCGGTCTCGCGCATATCGTCTTAAATATTGATGACACCCCGCGGGGGCAAACATCTTCTTTAAAGAATAACACCTGCGTGCAAGACCTCGCCTTTACCTTTATTATCATTATAACATTTAAACAAGTTCCGACTATAATTAGCATTAATATTCATTCTGAAAATCTACGATATGAACCAATATCAAGCAGTAGTATATATATATATATATATATATATATATATATATATATATATATATATATATATATATATATATATATA